AAACTTAATTAGTTGAAGGATATTTTTAAATTGATGACGGTCGTGAGAGAGACTTGGATCAATAAGTAGCAATGCTGAATAGGAAAATGATCAAACCAAATTTGGGAAGTGATTGATTAAGACTAACAGATCATTAATTAGTTATCCCAAGAGCCAACTACCTTGAAGAATTTTCAATATAAGCCAATTTGGCCCTCAGGCAGAAATCACTGGAGACAAGCAGACAGAATCACTAATGAGCCCCGGCCACTCTGTATTCAAGTTCAAACCCCTCAGTTGATCATTGACTTGATCATTTCAGTCCAAGTCTTGTCTCGACCCACATTGTGATTAATTGATCGCAAGACTGACTTGGTCCGAATGGTCGACTGGAATTGATGGTTTGATTTGGTCAGAGTAAAGTTGCACAAAAAAAATAAATTGGATGGAAGAAAAATATTTCTATACAGTTACTTGATACAAAGTTGATGGTACAGTTATTGATAGTTTAAGCAAGACTATATTCTCCATGCAATAACTCTCGACCCCTCCTGATCATTGTGACACTGTTGTTAGAATTCTTGGGAACAAGTCTTCTGTAACAAGGCTTTAAGTCGGAGCCTTTTTCCTTGGGGCGACAAGTCATATGAGATCAGGCGAAGCGGTGTTCTCTCTGCCATAGTCTGTCCACAGTGTCTCTGCTTTCTCTGTCTCTCTCTGCTGTAGTGTTCTGTTTTTATGAACCCATGTGCAAGGGCTGGGGTGCAGTATGATGTACTCCGGGTATGTCAGTACTCTCCAACAACTAATCAGGGATCTCCCTGCAAATGTCCAAATATGAGGGAGTCCCTCCTCCCTCCTTGGAATTCCACCTGGGCCTTCTCCTTTGGTCACCTGATCAAACCTGTCTCCTTTCCTGCTTTGTGTGAGTGCATCTCACCATCACTGCCCAAGGAGCATGGACAGTCCTCCACCTTCCCTGCAATTCCACCTGGGCTCTCTCCTCCTTGGTCATCTGACCAAACCCTTCCCCTAATGGCTAGGTGTGGTCTAGTCCAACGGTCAAATTCTAATTATCATTCAAAATTCTTTCTTATCGTACTTTTGGTGTGTGATTGTTTTCGCATCTGGAATCAATCATTCTTATCCTATTGTCAACCTTTTGGTCAACAAGTGGCAAAAAGGGAACAATCCCTTGATTTTGGGAAGTTTTATCACATTTCAGTTGATGAAAATTTTAATTGTCATTCTTTTATCTGTCTTATGCTGAAAACCTGTCTGCTTCTAAAAGTCACTACTCATCTATCGGCCAAACTTGCAGCCAGGTGTCTGTCTCTTCCCCTTCACTCACAATGGTCATAAAAATATTATCTATTTCTTTCCGGGAGGTCATTGTTCCTCCAAAATAGTTTGTCCCGTAGCCTCAGTTCTAATCAAAACCAGATGGTCTCTTTGTTTTACCTCTCCGGTGGATGAGAAATTTAATTACCTTCTAGTTTTTTTCCAACAAAAAAAAAAACAAATATCCTTTTCTTTGATTTTCCTTCATCTAGTCATCGGAATGTCTTCGGTCTATTGGAATTTAGTGTTGTTCAATTTACTAGCACCTTTCCGATAGTGTCACATCGAGATATGATCATAGTCCACCTTCTTTTGTCGATAAGAGATTTCCATCTTAAGAATTTTTGACAATAGAAAAGTTAAATTGAGGAAGAATTGGAAACTAAATTTGGTTGCAAACTCTACATCACACTTCCCTGACTTTCCTAATTTAATTACTGAGCCAACAAATTCATGAAGATTGACACTATTAAAACTGAGTGACCAGCACTAGTTAGGAAAACCAGTGCCATCAAGACCTAATCAAAATAAACACAGTCTTTTTTTATGATAAACAGGAATTGTTTCTCTTGCATATCTCATTCATTTTTCTTGTAACCAGATTCATTTGGTTTAGATGTTCAATAATCCATAAGACCTCATCACTTCTAAAATAAACCTGACAAAGGTAGGGAAACCTACAGGCAAGGAGAGACCAAGCTGTAGAGTGGGAGGGTCTTGTTATAATTTCTGTCTGCTATCATCGACCCATGTGATTTTTTTTTTTTTAGAATATAGTTTATTTGATGTCTTTGCTTACCTTTATGAAAGTTTAAAAATGAAAAGATTTTTACCATTATGTTTCATATTTTCCTTGATTTCATATCAGAACAATGACATTTCTAATAAAACAGGAATCTCTATTTCTGTTTTCTCAGAATATATCAATGATGTGAGTGTGTAAATATTTTTTTTACCTGAGACATAAAGGTGTTAGCATAGAAAAAAATTGATTAGTTTCTTTCCAATTTCAGTGGTTCCACTGATATGTGATTACAGCAATTTGTTGTTCCTTAGTTTTCTGCTGATCAAATCCAACTGGTTTTCTAATCACCTGCAATTGGGGGAAGTTGCAAGTGAAAGCACGATGTGAGAGTTTTTTTTTTTTCTTTCTCTTTCTAAAAGGAACTTTTGTTCTTGATGAGAATATAATCTGATCTCTGGCAAACCTGAGTCCTACAACTTTGGAATTGGTTCATTTGCCAGAAAGGAATTAGATTATCCAGGCTGATTTTACTCAGTAACTTTTTTTCTGTCTCCATTCAACAATGTCAGCTTTTTTTTTTAACTTCACTTCTTAGCAATCATATAATATTTCTTCAGAATTTACCTCCCCCCCACCTAGAGTATGTCATGTTCACATAACGAACATTTCTCTAATTTTTCCAATAAAAGTTACTTTTTAACACTAAGATGGCCAGCTCCTTTGACATCTTTATTTCCATTACGCCGTGAAGCAGTCATCTCTAATATATTTAATATTCAAGTCAGGAATAACAAGTCTGAAAAGAAATTCACAAATATTATTATACCTCATACTGAAAGAAAGTGATTTTATATATATATATATTGTTACGTAGTACAGAGAAAAAAACTAGGATAGAATAACCTTTTCTTAAGGCTTTACTGAACTTAATTCACAGCAGTCAGTAATCAACAAAGGAAAGAATTTAGAATGAAAAGGAAGAAGAACGCAGCTTTTAAAGAGGAATGGGAATGTGTGAAAAGTCACGTGGACAAGAAAGCTAGTTTCCTTTTTTTTTTTTTTTTTTTTTTTTTTTTTACGAAAATATAACATTCTCCCCCACTTGCAAAAGGGATTGTAATTGAAAAAGTTTTATAAATCCAGTCGTTGGATTGGTCTACGAATCCTGCTAGACCGGCGTGGAGGTAGTTCACCACTGGAAGAGCCAGACCTCTGAGAAGGCTGACTTTCAGGATTCTGGCTATTATTCACAGATTCATTTTCTGTATAAGGTGAAGAAATATTAAAAAAATTAATATTCAAGGCTGACAAGTAATGACAAGAAGCAATTCAAAATATGAAAATAAAAGTTGTTGAATCTTGTTTTTCTTTAAAGAAATGGATTATTAAAACTAGCAAATTGTTTATTAAAAGGATGACAAGATTTTACAACAATATTTCAATTTCATTTGCTTTGTTAGATTTCATCATCTCTTTAAGATTTTTTCTGGATAATCAGAAATTGCAAATGATTTTGAGTTCTTATCTATTTCCAAGACTTTTTAAGACAATAGATTTTTTTAAACCCTTTTAAAGAGAAGCTTAACCATACACAATTTCTTTAAGTTAATTGTTTACAATTTAAATGCAAACTCTGATAAAAGTTCACCTTATTTATAAATCAAGCAAACAAGCATAATATGCACTTTTGATCTGTACTGAATTACTGTTGGTAAGTGTTTGTTTTTAAATATATATATATATAATATCACACATTGAATGATAGTGTTACTAAAAGAGTGCTCGATGTAATATAATAGAGCTATAAATTATATATTAATAAATCCTGAAGATTGCATTTTGCATGAAACTCAGTCATGCTACCAGTGAGGAAAAAGAATGTATATTTATTAATAAGATATATATATCTTTTAAAAAGGAAATTTTTACAAAAAAAAAAAAAGGAAAAAGAATGTATATTTATTAATTATATATATATATAATCTTTTAAAAAGGATTTTTTTACAAAATAAGGAAATGTTTGAATGGTTTATCCTATATTTGTTTAACACTTGACATTGCAATATTTTTAGAAGTTCTGTTCTTAATTTGGAAATAACAACACACTACAAATCTTTTATGCCACATTTTATTTCTGCTGACTTTCTCTCAAGATTTTTTTAAATAGAAAAAGGCTAATGGAAGTATTTAGATAAGAATATATACTGAGTGCTCCTGGCTAAAAAATAATAGAACCTTTTGTAAATCAGTTTTGAAATACTTACAGGTGTTTCAGTTCAAATACACAATAGATTTTGGACTGAAAATAGAAAAGGATTTTTCTCTTTGAAACAAAAAGTGACTGAATAAATAAGTTGATTCATTCAGAAATGTAAACGAATAATAAATGCTTGAACAGTGATATCGTTTTGTGATTCTAATTCTAATGCTTCACTGTTTTCATACAGGAGGAAAATAGTTAATACATTGGACATTAGAAAATTAAAGCAGTGAAATAGTTATAAATTTTGATTGTTTGCTTTTCAAAATGGTATGTAGTTTTTAATTATTGTATCATTCATCCTGGCATCATCCATAACAGTTGGGTTCATGAAAAAGGAAGAATTCAGTTTTTGTAATTATTGCTGAGAAAACAGTAGCAGATTATTCTTATATACATTGACAGTTATTGATCAGCAAATAAATATAAAACAGTTTTTAGCAGAAAAGTTCTAAAATAACAATAATCTCTACAAAGTTCATTTTACTTGATGATTAGAAAGTTTTTCTTTTTTAACTTCCAAATGTTTTTTAACCATTTGTTGTTAGCTTAACAAAATAAAATTATTCCAATATGGTAATAATTATTCAGTATTAATTTTATATTTTATTTTATAATACTTGAAATGATGTTGCTAGAAATGAGTTAAATTGTTTTGTTCTTTCTTATTTGTAGGTGATTCTTGTTGTAATCCTATGAGTATGGGTGCTATAAAGACATACATTGAAAAGAATTTACCTGGAATTTATGTCCGGTCTTTGATGATTGGAGCCAATGTCATTGAGGTAAGTTTCAAAAGGTCCATGAAAACCCTATTTTTAATTTTAAAGTAGCTATTACTAAGTTTAGATTTGACTGAGCACTACAATAGTGAAACACTGAGTGGAGATGCCAATCACTACCATCATTCTACAATAGGCACTTGTCACTTATATGGTAATTCATGCAAGTAGTTATTACCATACACTTTTTAAACAATTATTTTCAAGTATTGCAATAATTTAATATACTAACTGAAATATGGAAGACCATAAATGACAACAATAGAAACCTGTTTTTGTTGGGTATACTAGCTACATTACCCATTAACAAGCTTATAATGCAGTTTGCCTTGACTTTGCTTACTAAGAAATAAGCTGCAGTTGTATACATTGATAGACTGGTTGGTAATCAAGAATTAACCTTCATTGTTTCCATTAATTGCAAAATGTCAGTATACAAAAAAAAAATCAATTTTCTTTTAAAAATATCCTGTCCAATAGATTTTTCAAACTTTCTTGACTACAAAATCACAATTTTTATTTAATAACATTTTATTAGTATCCAATTATCATAATAATTTTAAAACATTAACAATATTTATTTAATAAGTCAAAATCTTTTAAAAAAAAATTGTCAACAGTCTTTTTCTTTTCACAAGTGAATATATGCTAAAAATGCAAGTAAACACTTTCCAAATAAAATCGTTTTATTGTATTTCTTTTTTTCTTAATCAGTCCACATTTTCTACTTTTCTAATGACATTTTCAATAAAATTTCAACTGATTTAATTTCTCCATTTGATTAAATGTAAAGATTTTCAATGTTATAATTATATATCAATGAGATTTCATAACATGAAATGTATGGAGTTATAGTTGACATAAAAAATAATTTCCAGAAATTTTTCTTACAAAATTTCCATTTCATAAATACAGGTATTCATAAATTAAAAAAATTATTAAAATCTTATAGTTAGTTGATTTTGGTAGATTTTTAAATTCCAAGTATATTTTACCTCTAAATATTATTTCTACAGGTATTTGGTGTTTTAAAATGTAATCAACCCTTCAAAGACAAAAGTCGGGTTCCTTAGACTGGACCCAAATAAGTTTTGCCCAAGATTTTTCTCCACTTACTATTTTTTTGAACAACACAAATGTATGTAATCTATATCTATGATTAGGAAGATTTTATATAATATATATAAATAAATAAATAAAATAGGGAACTTGTATGACAAAGTGGAAAAAGTTTATCTGTGATGCATTTCATCTTTCAAGATTTCATCAGACTAAATTTGTTATGTTGGTAGGACTACACATGTGCACAGCAGAGGGGTGCTGGGAATTTTAGAAATTTTTTTTATATTATTTTTTTTTTATCAGCTGAATTCATTTACAGACTTTTTCTTTTTCTTTCCATCACTTTTGTAAGTAAGTATTCCACACTATGATATTAGAAAATCTGCCAGGAATGGTGAAATCTTGTAAGAGCCAGGGTGCAAATTTACTGTAGATGACCTTGCAATTAAGACACCCTCTAGATATATTTGTTGTAGTGAATTATTTTCTTCTTTGATCAGAGTAGCATTTTTATGTCAAAGTTGTGGTCAGTCCTGTAGGTGGGTAACCAACACATTTGATGTATTTTGTAAAGTGTCCCATTTTTGTTCATATAATCTTTTATTTAGATCCCTTGAGGTTTTTCATATGTATGTTTTTTGACAATTATTACAGGTGTTGGAGTAACTAATTTAAATTGACTGAAAGGAGTTTTCATTTTGAAATTACTAAAATTGCTAATTTTAGCACCATTTTTAGCCAACTTTCATCACAATGTAATTCTCTTTATTAAAAAATCTTTCAAAAATATATTTTTCTGAAACTTTATTTGAGGAATATTAGCTGATTTAAAGTTTAATTAATCTAATTTGAAACAAATATTACTTCAGTTTTAAAATATCACAGTAATGTATTTTTTAACATAACAGACTATTTAAGGTGTTTACAGCTTTACTGACAGAAGTTTATAAAATTTTTTTCTACAGTATATATATCTGTAATATTTACTTGAGGAATATAACATGAGTTCCTTTTTTATATAATTTTTAACTACCCAGTTATCTTAAAAATTTAGAACAATATTCTCTGTAATCTAATGTAGTATTGTATTTTAGGTACTTTGTCTTTAAATTTACTATAGTTATCGCTCTTATTTTCTGATAATGTCATGTATACGCATCCATATTTACAAAAATCAGCTTGTTTATACACATAAAAAATGTTAAAATTCTTTTTAAAATATTGGTGGTTGATGAACTGTACTAAGATTTTTCATTCATGATTAGTAAATATAGTTTTTACTTAATATCAATATCACCTAATATGGACAAAATAATACAGAAATGTAAAAGAATTAAAACTTTATAAATTATTTTAATTAAAATTTTTAAAAAATGAAAACAATTGTAAAAATTCATTATTCAAACTTTTCTAATTAAATAATGTTTTAATTTTTATTGCATTTTTTTATTTTACAATTCAGAGCAGATTTTTAGTAACTGGTGATCATGTTTTACAAAAAAAAAAAAAAATGAAACCGATTTAAATTCTCCAAGGAATTCTACTTTTTATATTAAGCAAGACAAATTTTAATTTTTCAAAATTTTATAAAAATAAATAAGTGGTAGGTAAGATAGAAAAAAAAATAAAAATATTTTCACCAAGATTTTCTAAAAAAAAAAAATTTCTAAAATAATTTCATTCATTTGTAAATAAGTCTTGAAAATTTCATTAAAATCCAACAATTAGTTGATTTTTGCAAAATTTCCAAATCACCATAAAAAAAAAAAATGCTAAAATTTCCTATATTAATCTGTGGTCGTCCCCCACCCCTTATATACTCATAGAGACACACACACACGGCCAAAACACTGTACATCTTTATATTTTGCATGCTTACCTTTGAATCTAAGAGAATATTTTAATATTTGTTGCTTGTGGAGAAATGGGGAACTGTACTGCTTTTCTTTTATACAGATATCTCATTTTATAATAACAATTACTGTTTGTTACCATTCTGTGTAAGCCTATAATTTCTTTTCTTTTTTTTTTTTTTTTTTTTTGTAATTGTTGATTCAAGAAAAATGTTTTTTTAAAAAGCTTTTTCATTGAAAAATTTTACAAATATATTTCCTACTTTACATGTGTGTTGCAGAAAATGAATCCTGACACATGAATAATGACAATGATTTTTTTTTAGAATGTCAAATAGACATTTCTTAATTAGACATTTGTTTCATTTTGTTGTACAATATGGAATGAATTCTGCTTTTGTTTCAGTAAGTAGAAATTCCAACCTCAATAAAAGGTGATTATTTTTGTTTTCAGCATGTATTCTTTACTTTTATAAATTTAATTTATATAAAAGCGTATAAATTTAAATTTTGTCAATTTCATTTTCTGAAATTCTCTTTTGTCAAGCTATTTTGTATTTGTACTTTCCCACCATCCCAAAAATTGATTAGAGGTACAAATCTATATCATACATACTATATATACCTGTCAAAACTCAGAACAATTCATGCATATATTGACCAGCACATTATGAATAACTAAAATACAACTATAAACATAAGACAAATACTAGTGGATAATACCAAAATACTCAGCAGCACCCAATGTAAGGAAATACTCAAAACCCTAGAAGCTATTATTATACAAAATAAACAGCATATATTAAATATTACTCACTACAGAAGACAGTATCTTGAAGTGTATATATTTATTGTGTGTGCATATAATAAATATATATATATATATATATATATATATATATATATGTATGTAGTCACTTGGTTAGAACATTTGCTTTCTGACCATGAGTCCTGGGTTCGTACCTCACCACGGTTAATTTGTCGGGAAGGAGACCTCCTGATGTTATCAGTCTGAAGGAGGGGACCCCAGCGTGTGGCAGCTTTGGAAAGTATCTGAAAATCATGCCACAGGTTGACCTAAGCCTTGTGAATGAAATTGGGTAGATGAAACACTTGGGGGGCATCGGTAACTGTGCTAGCTTGAAGTCACAAGTCATCGTGACCGTGGATTTGAGTGTGCTGGCCTTGTTCAGATTGTTGATCATGCTAGATAACGCGCTCTCTCGCAGAAACTAAGGTCTGTTCAGCATAGTTGCAGTATAAACCACAGGTGGGCTCCGTGGGTGTTGAACAAACACAAATGTGCCTGAGTGAGCATCTGTAATAGGGATTGGCTAGCCACCCTAATGTATGGGTATCCTCGAATACAAGTGACCAGCTATTATATATATATATATATATATAAAAACTCATCCTTTTTATATGGCCTCACTCCCAATAACCATTAAACATATCATTATAACTATTTCAAACTTTTAGCTTTCCAAAGAATGCCAGGATGTAGACAAAGCAATTCTGCCTACCATACAGACACGACAATGGTTCTTGAAAATGACATTCGAAAGTACTTGAATAATAAACAACAGTACAAGCATAAACTTAACACAGTTTATTCACAATTTTAATCACAATACACAACACCTTATTTGAAGATTGGAACAAAACAATAAAAATTAAACAGATATACATGGTCGGTTCTTTTTAATCAAACTTATATATAAATGTGGGTGTAGGTATGTTATAAATTTGGGTAAATGATCACAACAGAGTTTTACATTAAATGACAATTGGAAAAAAAACATTCACAAAAGTATGTTTCGAAAAAATATCCAATAATGCATTTCGCCCATTTTGGGTTTCATCATATTGAAGGTGAAAAAGTGAATTGCATGTGTATGTATTTGTGTGCTTATTTAGAATAGTGAGATTAAATATTTTTTTCCAAGCTGGCATTGCTCTTGACTAGAAAAGAAAGAAAATGAGTGACTTTTTGAAAAAAAGTCATTTAACATTTTATGTTCATTGCTTTAAGTGTCCAAGTTTAAAGATAGAAATCAATCAGAATGAGTAGAAAATAAATAAGATTTG